CCTTTAAAGTAATCTCTATAGTACTATATCTTTTAATTATAACTTAGGTAGTACTAGCCTAAATATAATTACTAATTAGGGCTACTACTAATATAATAAACTATAATATATAGTTAAATATATAGTTAGTAGTGCCTAAATTAAGTAAGGCTAAATTACTTAGCTTATAGCCTTATAAAGTAGTATAAAAAGCCACCTTTATATAGTATTTACTATATAGTTAATATAACTTAGCCTTAATTCTTTACACTTATTTAGTAAGGTTAGGATTACTTACTATATACTTATTAATTTATTACTAACGTTATATATTTACTTACTAATTATTAGGCCTTTATAACTTATTTATAAAGTAGTAAAGTTATAATAGATAGGCGCTAAAGCATATAAGGCATTTTGCCTTTTTACTTACACTTTATTAGTAGTAATACCTCTTATTATTAAATTTACTATCCTTTACTACGCCTTTAGCACACGTTAGGCTATTATTATTATTACCTCTAGTTAGGCTAAATACGCTACAGCCTACTTAGCTATAATATAGTAAGTTATTAGTAAAGGCTTTAACCTTCTCTAGCGCTATCTTATAAAGAGACTACTAGTTAAGATCGTTCTAATTACCTATTATTTTACTTATTACTATATATAAATCTAGCTAGGAGCTAAGTAAGCTACTTTATAAAGTAGTAGTAAGGTTATTAAACTAAATTAACAGCTATTAGTAGTTAGGTAAATTAACTTATACTAATTTACTATAGGCTATATTCTATTTATTAAGCTATATAGTAAGATCTTTCTTAGTAGTTAAGGCCTTTTGCTAGGCTTTTACTAACACTTTACTATATTTATTATAGGCGTACTTTACGTACTCTTTTTTAGTTATTCCTACTACTACACTAAGCTTATTAAGCTATTTAGCTAGTAATTTATTAAATTTATAATATTTTTCTTAAAGATCTACTAATATAGTAAATTTAACTATATTAGCTACGTCTTTAACGTCCTTTTACTAAGTAGTATACTTATATACTTCCTTATAATAGTAGCTTATCCTGCTGTTTAAGTATATAAGATTATATAAGTTAAGATTATCTAGCGTTATTACGTGTTTAGTTTTATATATAAGCCTATTAGGTATAGCTATAATAGCCTTACTTCTTGCTATATATAGCTATATAGTTACTTACTAAAATATCCTAGTAATTACTATAGCTATAGTAACCTCTTAGTAAGCAGTAAGCTTATCCTTAGTTAAGGCGTATAGATATTACGTTATAAGCAGCTTTATTAGTTTCTTTAGATATATCTTAAGGATTAATTAGTCTGCTGCTGTAACCTCTAGGTTAATATACTCCTAGAGATTATAATACTTTACTTTTACTTAGATAGCATTAAGCTACGCAAACTAATTACTACGTAATTACAGGATAGTCACCTTATTATTATAGTTCTTATTAATTATTATAATAGTATTTAATTAGTAGATAGGTATATTAGTTATTATAGATATACGTATTAGACTATTAATTATTAAATTATAAGGATTATAATAGTTACTTAATTAATTCTCTTATATGTTATATATCTATTATAAATTACTATAGAAATAGGGAAAACCCCCTATTTCTTAGTTAGGAAATCCCTAGCTAATCCTAGCGATATTATTAGTAGACTTGCCCTAAAAGTGGAGCTAATTCACCACCCATTCCCCAACAATTCGCCATAAGGCAACCGTGCATTCGCCAGTTAATTTACATGTAATTCCGCCACATTTAACATTTTATAATACTTATACCCCTAATTTTATATTCCTTATTATAGTATAAACTAAGATATTAATTAGTAGAAGCTCTTGTAATAAAACATACTTAAAGTAACAGATAGTATATATTTTATAGTTTAGAGAGATATATAGTAAGAGGGTACGTTAGTTACTAGTGTAAATTTTTACTCCTTGCTAGGTTATTAAATGTTATTAGCACTAGAAGTTCTATAGTAAACCCTAGTCTTAATTATTAGCTAAGAAGTCTAGCAAGGCCTTATATAGGCCTAGCTTGTTATAGCTTATTATTTTTGTTTATAGTTTACTATCTCTTTAATAGTATATTACTTATTAAGTAATTAGCTTACTATTTACTTAATAGTTTATTACTTATTAATATAGTCTAATAGGTAATAGATTAGTTAACTATCTAGGAGCTAGGAGCTACAGCTAGCAACAGCCGGTCTTATAGACTGCTGACAGGTGGGGACAAGTGGGGCACGCTAGGACCCACCGGTCGGCAGGATATCGGCCCGGCTGATGGATCTACCGGCAAGGCCGTAGTAGGTCCAAGATCGGCTATATTGTCCTGTAATAAGTGCCCCCCTTTAATTGAAATAATCGTTATATAGCGATTATTTAGAAAGGAAAGGCTAACTAGTAGTGTAATTAACTAATCTAACTGTAGATCTTAGGCTTCTATACAGCTGTTACAGCTATATAGAGGGATATACCTAAGGTCAGTAGTCATTATAGTCATTCTAGTCACTACAGTTACTATAGTCACCTTCCTCTCTATATCCCTTATTATACTTATCTCTATAGTTATTAAAGTCCCTATATTCTTTAGTATTATCTCTAATAGTGTTACTCTTATTACTATAGTTCTATTTACTATTATAACTAGGTAGATTAGTAGGCTAGCTAGGTTAACACGCGTCTAGGTATAGGCTTAGGTATATATATAGTAGCTAAGCTAGTGAGGCTAGCAGGCTATAGGCTAGCTAACTATAGGCTAGCTAGCTATAAGTAGGCTAGGTTAATTAATCTAGCTTAAAAAGATATTTATTATAGTTATAGTAATAATCCCCTATTAAGTAGATTAACCTATTATTATTATCCTAGGGACTAGTCTTTACTATATAGCTAATATTATTATCCTTATTATCTTCCTTATTATTATCTAAGGTATCTTAACCTCTATACTAGGTAGCTTTATAAGGTAGTGCTAGTAGATAGTCAAAAGCCCTATACTTATAGAGTCCTATTTCTACCTTTTACTCCTAAATCTACTAGGGAAGAGATTTACCTCTAGGCAGGTTACCTCCTTTAAATCCCTATAGCTATTACTAGTATTCTTAGGTATATAACTTAAAAAGTCCCCTTATTACTTTTATAAAGTTATATACTAATAGTAGTAGGCTAGTAAATTAGTAGTAGGCTAGCTGTAGTGTTAGTAGTAATAGTCTAGTGTATCTTAGTAGTAAGGAGGTGTCTCTTAGTAGTAGTAGTAATAATTATAGTAGTAGTAATAGGCTGTTACTTCTCTATTTAATAGTTACCTTTTTATAAAAAGCCTTAATAGCTAGGTTAAATTTTATAGTAGTAAGGAGGGTTAGTAGCACTAGTAATATAAATTACTTACTTATAGAGGGTAGTAACAAAACTATCAATATTAATAGTAGTAATAGTAAAGTTAATAGTAAAGATAGCTAAAGTAGTAATAGTAATAGTAATAGGGGCTTATAGTCTAGTAGATAGTAAAAAAAGGCGTTCTAAGATATAAAGTCTTAATAGTAAAGTTAGTAGTAATAGGTATAGTTATTTATATATATATAGTAAAAAGTATAGATTATAAGGGAAATCTAGTATTACACTTCTAGTAAGGCTCTAGTTAATAACGTTATTATTTAAGCTCTTTAATTAATAGTAGCTCTAGTAGTAGTAGATTTAATAGATTAATAGGTAAAAAAGAGGGTAAAAAAGAAGGAAAAAAAGAATAGTAAAAGTGAGGTTATTAGCTAGAGGGATAGCAGCTCTAGCCAGATCAGGGGGCCTAGCAGCAGTAGTGTTAGCTACAGCTAGGCTAGGTAAAAAACTCTACTAATAGGCGTATATTAGTAACTAGCTAGTAAAGATATATAGGCTTCTAATTAGTTACCTAAATAACTAATTAAATAGCTCTTAGTAATTAGCGTATTTACCTCTTATTAAGTTAATTAATAGTAGCAGAGAGCTAATTACCTATAGATTATAACGTAGTTATACTACTACTTAATATAGTCTAATAGGTAATAAATTAGTTAACTATCTAGGAGCTAGGAGCTACGGCTAGTAACGGCAGACTGCTAACAGGTAGGGACAAGTGGGGCACCTGCTAGGACCCACCGGTCGGCAGGATATCAGCCCAGCCAATAGATCCGCCGGCAAGGCCGTAGTGGGTCCAAGGTCAGCCATATTGTCCTGTGACACTTATTTATTTAACGTTTTATATCAATAAATCAGTTTATATTACTCTATGATTAAGTTACTATTACAACTTCAAGTTTTTAACCCCAAGTCAGTAGACGAAATAAAGAGGCTAACATTCTAATCTATTAGCTTAACATAGCATATGTTAACTTTACTTATTGAAGAAGGCCAATCTAAGGTCAGATGTTGCTAAAAAAACTTATTTATGCTACTATTTTTTTTAGATACACTTAAGATTAGTAGAGATGTAGCTATTTTGTTGTTTTTATCTTCAAGAGAGGGCTTGTTGGTTTGTGCGGGATTAGGCGAGAGACTTACTCCTAGGTTAGTACTTTAATGCCTGTAGGGCGGTCCCGCAATGTATTAGACTTTTACGCACTACCAAATCCTTAGATTAATGTATACAGGGATACTAAATCAGGTAGAGTACCGACCTAGAGAACCTTCTTAGAACCCCTAGTCAGTATAGGTTATTATTAATTTTTCTATCTATAGTGTTATAGTAGATATTGTTAAAAGTATTGTTTTATATTATATGTTAGTAAAAAGCGTCTGTCTAAGTACATGTATAAATAAGTCAATTGTTGTCTTATGCAAGGCGGGTAGTAGTACATGTTAAGCGGTTATAATATTTGGTATTTAAAATCAGACATATTATGGCTTTGATCTTCCTTCTCTTATTGGCCTTAGGCTTCAGGTAGGTCCTTATAAATCTTGCCAACCCGTACGTGTTTATTGTTCTTTAATATTAACGATATAAGAACAGTTCTATTCATGGTCAGAAACCTGAACCTCAACCTGACAGGCATGACGCCGAGCCGACCTCCCATTTTTGGGGCTCAATGTCCCCCTTCTTCCCAGTGCCATCAGAGATCGACCCCACGACGCCCTCCAGATGCAAGATCACATTCGTACAGATCCTGGAACGGCACGGCGCACGAAACCCCAACGCTGGGAATACAAGGACGTATAAGGCGCTTATTCAGCGTATCCAAGATGTTGTTACCCACTACAGCAAGGGCTTCGAGTTTATCAAGACGTACAAATATAACTTTGTTCCAGGCCAGCTTACACCCTTCGGCCAGCGGGAGTGTTACGACTCTGGGATGTCATTTTATAGACGCTACGAGGCCCTTGCCGCCAAAAACGATCCATTCATTAGAGCCGCTGGCCAGGACCGCGTGATCGAGTCTGGTGAAAAATGGGCCCAAGGTTTCTATCATTCCAAGAAAGGCAACGGCCACGAGCCAATGAACGAAAGCCAAATTAAGAAGCTCATCCACATTATTCCTCAAACAGAGGGCTTTAACAACACGCTGAGCAAGGGCGGGTGTCCCGCCTTCGACAAGGACTACGCCACTCTTGGCAAGCAAGCGCAGGCTCCGTGGCTCAAGAAATTTACACAGCCAATCGCAACACGGCTCAACAAGATGCTGCCTGGGGCGCATCTAACGGATAACGACATCGTTCACTTAATGCAGCTGTGCCCAGTAAACACAGTAGTCGATGGCATTCATTCGCAGTTTTGTAACCTATTTACACTAGAGGAGTGGAAGGACTATGATTACTACGATACATTAGCCAGATACTACAGCTTTCATGCGGGTAACCCACTGGGACCAACGCAGGGGGTAGGCTATACCAACGAGCTTATTGCACGATTGACGCGGCAGCCGGTAGTGGACCATACGTCCACTAATTCAACCCTAACCGGAGACCCTAACGAGTTCCCACTTGATAGAAATTTGTATGCTGACTTTAGTCATGATAGTAATATGGTGTCTGTCTATGGAGCACTAGGGTTGTATAACGAACTGCATTCACTAAGTAAGACAAGGAGGATGTCGACTGCAGAGACGGGGGGATTTACAGCCAGTTGGATGGTGCCATTTGCAGGACGCATGTATGTGGAGAAGATGAAGTGCGACGGCACGGACGAGGAAATGGTTCGGGTTCTGGTCAACGACCGGGTGGTGCCGCTGTCCGGGTGTGGCGCCGACAAGCTCGGCCGGTGCAAGCTAGGGCGATTTGTAGAGAGTTTGGGGTTTGCGAGGCGTGGAGGACTCTGGCATGAATGCTTTGACTGATACTCTCTAAACATGTCGTGATGCCTTTATAGCATCACGGAACCACATTCGAGATTTCTCTAGAGCCCGGAACATTAATTTTTCTAGGCTCCTTTACTTCGATCTACTAGATCTACTATAGTAATACGTATTTTTATACTTTACTATAGCCTATGTTATTGTTGGTATCACAGGTGTGATATAATACGGTACATGTACGGTATTGAGAGGGTGAAGCAGTAGTTCAATTCTGGTTGTATCTAGTTGCTCAAGGAGTAGAAGGGAGGGATACACGAACTGCTTTAGATTTCGCCGTTAAAGTACGGCGAAATCCCTGTAATGCTATTGGCCAGGAAAAGCCGGCAATCTCCTAGCATTCCTGGCTGTGGTTGGAAGTGGCTAGGGCCACTCCTGCGCCACTTACTCCTTGAGTTTCCGACGAGTTGTTCCAACAGTAACCCACCCACCTGTCACGAGCGGGTCAGGGCAACCAATTCTGGCACAAAGCAAAAGCTTCGGTAATAATGCTCCTCCCCTGTTCTGCACTATATAGTTACGCCGGCCAGCACCTCAACTAGTTAGGCCGTAACACCACCCCACTTCCGCAAATCCCCATCACCACCAACACCACCAACACCACCACTACCACCACTACCACCACTACCACCACTTTATTCCTCAGGTTTACCTCCTACCTATATATAACTTTTAGCCTTACTAGATATTTCAGATACCCTAGATTTATCTAGTGTATCTATATTATCTATAGGTAAACTTATAAGAAACCTAAAAAGCGGGCCCGCCCCTTGGTTGTAACGGAATTGGCTGTCACAGAACAAAGTGGCTAGCACTTAAATGTATACGTCTGCACTATATCGCTGCCGAATTTGGTTACATCGCGATAACAAGTTCGAAGCCTACGCTACGCCACAATAGCTAGGATAGGCATCGTCTGATAGTCTGTACTTATATACCTCGCCTACGCCAAAAATAGACAATGTTATAATAATCCTAGTATCGTGTCTATGTTCAGCTAGAAACGGCTATTATATAGACCGTTTATGTTATCCGCTAGATTACGCTAGGGTAATTAATATTCTTAACTACTCTAAGGTTAGACCTAGAACCTAAGGAGAGAGCTAAAACGGCCTTAATTTATTTTAGAGCCTTTACTCCTCTCTACAAGGCCAGGTGCTGCTGTACCGTTGCGTTCCTACTCTTAGGAGCTTATATAGTCGTCTGTTATAAGCTATAAAGTATATAAGCAGATTTAGTATATTGTAATAGGTTACTATAGGTAGACAGACCTTCTTAGTCTATTACCCATTACCTAGCTTTTAAGTCCTATAGAGTTCTTCTTAAAGCTTCTTTAGACCTTTAGTAGTAAATAATAAGTAATTATTAAATATAGCGGAATTACACGTAAATTAGCTAGTAAATACACGGTTGCCCTATAGTAAATTATTAAGGAATAGGCGGTGAATTAGCCCCACTTTTAGGCGTAACTTCACTAATAATATCGCTAGGATTAGCTAGGGATTTCCTAACTAAGAAATAGGGGTTTTTCCTTATTTCTATAGTAATTTACTATAGTTATATAATATATAATAGAATTAATTAAGTAACTATTATAACCCTTACTATTTAAGAGTTAATAGTCTAATATATATCTATAATAACTAATATACCTATCTACTTATTAAATACTATTATAATAATTAATAAGAACTATAATAATAAGGTAACTATCTTATAATTATATAGTAATTAGTCTGTATAGCTTAACGCTATCTAAGTAAAAGTAAAGCGTTATAATCTCTAGGAGTATATTAACCTAAAGGTTATAGTAGCAGACTAATTAATCCTTAAGATATATCTAAAGAAACTAATAAAGCTACTTATAATATAATATCTATACGCCTTAATTAAGGATAAGCTTACTACTTACTAAGAGATTACTATAGCTATAGTAATTACTAAGATATCTTAGTAAGTAACTATATAACTACTAAAGAGTTAAAGAAAAATATAAAATATAATATAATATAAGAATATACTATAAATATAATATAATATGATATAAATATAATATATGTATTTCTATTGTATTATGTTAGAATAAAAATATATATATTTATATTGTATTTATATTATATTTATATTATATTTTATATTTAATATAACAATTTGAGATATAAAATAAATATTAGTATTTAATAGTATAATTACACTTTTAGGACTTTATTATACTTAGTAATACTACATATTCTACTTATAAATACTATAATATATATATATATATATTTAATAGAAAATAAGTAAAGATTATTAGTATTGTTAAATATAAAAGTAATAAACTCTCTCTAAGGACTCTTATTTAGGTATTATATAACTATTTAATTTATAAATAGTTTAAATATTTTATATAGTAAAGCTTTACTATAAACTATATAAGTAAAATAAGATTAGTATTTAAGTAGTAATAAAGGTCTTATTATATATTAAGATCTTTTTAATTAATAAAGACTATTTAAGTATATTTAGCTAATAATAACTTAATATAAATATATAGAACTTAGTACTTAAATTCTGTTTTTTATATTCTAAACTCTTTAACTATACTTTTTCTTTATACTACTAATTTCTTATTTAATAAAAAAGTATTTATATTCTATATTTAAGAGATTATTATATATATTAGAGCAGGGTAGGGCGATTAGCCTAGAGTAAGGTAGTATGCAGACTAATTAGAAGATTCTAATCCTAATTAAGTATAAAGATATAAGCCAGTATTAATAGGTTTAGAGATAGACATATATAATTTATCCTTTATACTTATACCTACCTTCTAATTAAACTAAAGCCTCTTTATAATTTACCTTTAATTATAATAATATAAGACGATTAGAAGTAATTACCTACCTAATTAGGGTATAATTATACTTAATCCTATAGTTTAATACTTATAATTAATATTAATTCTAGACAGATTAATATAATTTATATACTAATTAGTAAGAAATCTTATATTACTTTTAATAGTTATAGTGTTCTATATAGTTACTATACTATAAGAGTCCCCTATACCTTACGCGCTTTTAATAGTCTCTCTTTCTAGAAAATTAACTATAGGTTTAAACTAATTAAAAAGATATCTAGTTAAGTACACTAAGTAAGTTATTATAAAAAGTAATAATAATAAGATAATAAGATTATAAGAAGTAACTAATTAAGGGAATAAAGAAAACCTTAAAAAGATAATAAGATAATAAAGTAATAGATTAGTAACTTAAATAATAAAAATTACCTAATTATAAGACTAAGATAATAAGTTAGAACCTTAAAGGTTACTAATTTATAATAATAACTAAAATAGATTATAGAAATACTAAGAGAGCTAAATAAAGCTCTTAAAGGTCCTTATAAGTAAGGTAGTCTATTATAATTAGTTACTTATAGTTAATTAATATAAAATAGTGCCTTAAGAATTACCTAATCTAGAGATATAAAGCTATTAGCCTTAAGACTCCCTATAAGTATACTAATTTAAGTAACTATTATAACTTTATAAAGAAATTATAATAAATTAAAAGACCCTCTTTATTAAAAGTTAGTTAATAAGTTTAGCTAAGGCTAAAGATAATTATATAAATTCTACTAATTAGGAGTATAGCCTTAGCTTAGATAATAAAATAAGTTACTTTAGTACTCTTAAAAAAGATCTTAAAAAGTTTAAATTAGAATATAATTATTAGAATCTTTAACTTAATTAATAAGTTATATACTAAATAACTACTAACTAATATAATAAGTAATAACTATATTACTTTTTCTTAAGAGGCTACTCCTAAGTATACCTTAGGCTTAACTCTAAACACTACTTTAGTAAGAGGACTAGCTTTTACTAAGTATTAAGAGCTAAAAAAGATTAATCCTTTTAAGAATAAAGAGAGTAGTAACACTTCTAATCCTCTACTTATAGTACCTAATTAGAAATAGAAACCTCCCTTTATCTCTTAGGATCTTAACCTTTTTATAGATACCCTCCTTACTACTCTTACTGCCTAGATTTAGCCTAAGGTCTTATAAGTAATAGTAAATATAGTTCTTAACTAAGGAGAAAACTTAAACTTTTTTAAGATACCTTTTTTAGGCTAAAGTAGTGCTATAGTCTTTTCTAGAGATAATATTATTAACTTCTTAGAAAAGTATAAGGATTAATATAAGCTTATGTAAGTACTAGACTAATTAAGGGGTATACTAGTAGCCTATTATATAGGGGGAGATTATTAAACTTTAGTAAAAGATATAATTAAGGACTTACCTTAGGTCTAGGCTAGGGCCTATCTCTTAAAGAAGTATAGAAAATAAGACGCTAATTAATTCCTTAATAAGGAAGAATAGATTAAGAAGGTTATAAGGGGATTACTAATCTCTAGCTTAGACCTATACTTAGCTAAGGTACTTTTTACTAGTGTTAATAATATAATTACTAAAGTAAAGTAATAAGGCTTTTATATAATTTCTAATAAGAGCCTAATTAAGGCTATATATAAGTAATTTAACGCTAAGACTATAGAAAAAGCAGTAAATAAGATAAAAATTAGCCTTTTAGCCTTTATTTAATTAATAAAGTATATAACGTTTAAGAGTAGACTTCTTAATATAATTACTTATAAGAAGAAGTATAGGCCCCTATTTACTAATAGTAAGGCTAATAGTACCTTTATAATTTAACTAGCCTAGTAATAGCCCTAAAGAAACTTTACTTATTAGTACTAAAATTACTAGTAACTAAAATAATTAACTATTAACGTCTAAGTTAATTAACTAGTCTTAGGTAACGCTAATTAAGACCTTACTAATAGTATAAGTAAACTTAAGATATATTAGAATTCTATTTAGTAAAGGGGGTCTACTTAAGTGTTTAAGGTTAGTATAGTATAACTAGATTAAGTAAAAGTATTAGGACTAAAGAATAGATATTAGTACTACTAGTCTAATAAGTATTAATTTATTTA